TAGTAGTCATCCCACTGTTCGGCCAATGTCACATCAACAACAATCTCATGCATTTTCATCCCAAGAGGTGAGCAATCATTTAATCAAAGCTTTTTTGACAAATAACATGTCTTATTAATTACAATACTTGCTCTTATTAAATATAGGTTCACCTTTCAAAGAAAGAGAAGAAGAATAAGAAGAAGAAGAAGAACTAACAAGGTAAACGTACTAATATCACTAGTTCGTGGTTTATGTTCATTTGATTTGTAAGGCAGCAGCATTAGTGAAACAGCTATTAGTAGCAGCAGCATGAGCTGCAGCTGCAAGTAGTCCAATGTGCATGCTATCACTAGATAAATTTGACAGTTCGCTGCTGTTTTTGTCGAACTTTGTCTGCTTGATGCAAGAATGCTATGCTTAGGTGCTAGACTGTTCATGACTGCCATGGTTAGACTGCTATGCTTGACTGTTTTTGTCCACACTCTCTCTGTTTATGGTTTTTATGTTTTTAGAAGAGCTTGTGTTGTGTGGGTTTGTTTAGGTGTGTGTGTGTGTGAAGAAGATGTGTGATTTTGTTTGATGCAAATATCATGAAAAGATGTGTGATTTTGCCCATGGAGCGGGCTCATTTACCAGTGTTCTAAGGCATTTTTTGTTGTTACTACTGCATGTGGGTCTTATGAATGTTCCAATCTTATCCTTTGCTTCTTCTTTATTTATCTAGTAATCTGTTCTCCCTGGGAATTCTTTCAGGGGCAAAGCAATATCTGTATTTCTAGTTTCATCCAGTCATTTTGGGAAAACAACCATATTAGAAGCTACCTCTTTGGTAATTGTGTGTGCAAAATGTAGTAGAATCCTCTCACTTTTCCCCCTCATTTTAAAAGCTGGCTCAAGCCAATCTCTCCCAACAATATTTTTTTCATTGTTTTATAAGGTTTTGCTACATGTTTTTATCCTTCTTCCGTGTTAATATAATTGCTGATTTTTGTTCAGTTGATTGTTTTGATTTCTTTTAACATTTCATACTGTGATAATACAGTGAATAACAGTTCTCAACTTACATTTGGTGCGAATATGATTGCTGCTTCAGGTGCTGGTGCTGTCACAGAAATTGCAGCAAATCCACTGTGGGTTGTTAAGACCAGACTCCAAGGAGGTTGGATCTTGTTATATGCAGTTTCTTTCTAACCTATTGAAGTAGATTAGTGAATGCTTTTAGTTTCTCCGTGCTTGACTTGAAAACAAATACTTGTATCTATAACTTGTGTTTGTATTACTATTGCAGAATTCTGTAGTTGTAATTAATTTTGTTGGAGAATGTTCTCCTGTTGGCTGTACAGTATGCTTCTCTATGTTGCAGAAGTATCTAAACTAGAACCACTGCTGGAAAATGAGATGAAGTTTGAAAGAAAAACTCCTTTCAAGTGCTAGGATGCACACACCAAGCTGAAATATGTTTAAGCTCTGCAAGTAAGCCTCCTGGCACACTTCAAATAAAGTGGATATGAACTAAAACATTAGTACAGAAGCATTCAACTTATAAAAGAATTAACAAAAGAAAGAAAGAGGGGATTTCTGGAGATTCGGACACAAGAAAACCACAGGCTGATTCCTTCGTTGGAACTAAAAACTCCTCAGTAGTGTAACCATAGTGACTGCACATAAGCAAGCAATGAGTACTGTCTAGAAAAGAAATCCAACAAAATGGGAGGGGAGAATACATTAAATCAGGAAAGATATGAAGGTGCACTCAAGTACATGAAATTTTTAATATATATATTTGAAGCTGCAATTGCTTCTATAATAAAGGAGTCCTCGTCATTAATCTTCAAGAAACAACTCGAGAAAAGTAATACTCACTGCCCAGTTTGGAAGTAGTGCCACCAATGTTGGTGAAAGGTCACGGTACAGTCCCTTCAAACCCTCGGTTCATATTATATTCTGTAGGCTTGTAATAATGATACTACCTGATTGTCACCAAATATGAAGCGCATTAAGTACATCAACATATATAAGAAGAGCATGTGTAAATTTTAAAAAAAAAATAAAATGAACATTTGGGGAGAGGAAGCTAAAAAAAACTCAGTCCAAAGGTTAAGCATCATTTTTCTATTGTATAGCTCATCTATATATTCCTCGGGTCTTTTGTTTTAGTAAATTCATAGTTATTTTTATCAGGGAATATTAGTTTCCATCTCTAAAACCAAATAATAGAAGAGGAATTGAAAAATCAATAAATATTAGACCAAAATGGTTGATTGTGCAAAATTCTAACATATTAACATAATTTTTTTCCCCAGAAAATCCCCATGTGCACTGGTGGAGATTTTGTGCTAGCCGAAGAGGCTAAAGCTTGTTAATAGTGATGTCTTAACCAAAAAAAGAGGGTAATGATGATGTGTGTTGCATAGTTTGATAATGGTATTACAAGGAGATAAAGTCAAAAATTGTTAGTTGTTAGTTGTTACATGAAGCCAAGTGGACTACTGTACTCACCCGAGTGGTAGAGAAAGGTCTTATACTCCTATTACGGAGCTCTTACATGGTTAGAGCAATTGAAGTCCATTGACTTCATTATATTCCATAAAGGTTAGATTATGCAAGATAACTCTAATAATGAAAAATGCCAAAAATCTTCTGTCATATTGTGGAAGAATGTAAAAATAAATAAATAATTGGAATTTCATTTGGACTTCAAAGGATTTTACCTTCCATACCTTTGAATTTCATAACCAAAATGGGTAAACAAACTCTTAGCATACAATAGGTGATGGAATAATAGTAATAATAAGGGCAAATTACATATACCTCCATCGAGGTTTAGTTAAATTACAGATGCCTCCAAAGGTTTCGAAAATTACATCCCATCCCCTGAGGTTTATATTTTCATAACAAATTGCCCCCTAATTTGTAATGCAAGTATAACCTTCAAGGAGAAATTTGTAATTTTTCAAACTTCAAAGGAATATCTGTAATTTAGCTAAATCTCGAGAGAGTGTATGCAATTTGCCCTAATAATAATAATAGATGGTAGGTGAGTTGACTAGATCTTCCACCCTCATCCCAAATCATATTGGACACAAGGGTCGAGGATAGGTTCCTATCTAAAACAAAGGCGAGCATAGTTTAATTTTAGGATAAATTACAAATATAAAGATTTACTTAAAATATAGATTACATTTTGTGATTTAAAAAATTATAAATATTTTTTTGCCAGAATTTTTTATTTATTAAAATTAATTAAAAAAAAATAAAATTCATGATTGCTCTCCTATACAATAATAAAATTACTTACATTATTAATAGTTTAATGTCACATAACGCTCTATGTTCTACTGTCCCTCTACCTAGGAGCTGTGAAGTCTAGTGCAATTGCTTTGGAATGGGCTGCAATTTAATCAAATATATAATTTCAATTGTTGTATAGACTCACATATAGCAAACTTCACTATGAGAAATTGATGCCGCCAAAATCCAAACAATGCACCTCTAACTAACCACAGTTACAAACGATTTTAGCATTTATTTACCAACAACCCAATTTCATCAACCTTCTTACTAATGAAAGTTCAAAAGAAAAAACAAAACCCTTGTTGCGCTTTGGCACAAATAGTTTCTGCAAAAGCAATCAACTTCCATACTAATGCTTTATTTGGTTCACTGGAATGAGATGGAATGGAATGGAATTGTCGTTCCTTAGGCTCCCCTATGGAATGATCAATCCCTTATAATGGTAAATGACGATTCCATGTGCAATGTATTTTTCATTATTTTTTTCATCAACCAAACACGAGCATGGATATTTTGATGGAATGACCATTCCATTACCTGAGTTTTCGATACATTCCAGTTTCAGAAAGACACTTAAGCCAAAAGCATTATTACAGTCCAAAAATGCTACTGTATAAACAAACAAACAAACCATACTGTTTCTAGCTATAGAGTAAGCAAAATTCATACAAGAACAAATACCTTTTGGACAGAATGGTGAGCTTCAGGAAGGCCATGGACTTGCAATCTGGTTTTGATCACATCCAATGGGCACACAAAAGTGGCAGCTATAGCCCCTGCAGAGCACAAAAATGGCATATGATAAACCAAAAATTGACTCAATCGACAGCTTCTGATCGAAGCATTCACACAATTGACAATTAACTATCAAAAACACCAAAAAGTTTAACAAATTCACTAGCTTTATCAAAAATTAACAAAAATATAACGAAATGAACAAACCCTAACTGAAATCACAAAAACTCAAAAACACATTTTAAATCAAAATCGAGGGATTTTGGGAAAAAGAGCAAAACCTGCGGTGGCACCGGCGGCGGCGGCGTCGCAGATGATTTTCTTCGAGCTCCGACGATCTAACAACCGCGCGCCACCAGCGGTCATCTTGAAGAACTACTTGATGAGTTTGTTTGTTATTTTCGATCCAGAAGTGGGAAGTAGTGGTGGTGTTGTCGAAAACTGTTTTCAATTTGCCAATACTTCAACTAATTTTATGATGCCGTTTGTTTGGTGATGTAAGCTGTCTTTTATTAAAAAAAAAGGGCAAATTACAAACGCCCCTCGACATTCGGTGAAAATATAGATTTCTTTTGAAATTTGAGAAGTTATAAATTATTTTTGAAGTTTATATTTTTATAATAAATTATTTTTTGAGATTTTTATTTTCATATATATTCTTTTCTAATTTCTTTTAATTTATTATGAAAATTTGACTCTCAGGAGTAATTTGTAATTTCTCAAATCTCAGAAAAAATCTGTATTTTTACCAAATTTCGAGAGGGTTTGTAATTTGCTCTTAAAAAAATTAGTTGACATGTTTATGATTACTTTTTATATAATAAAAATAAAAAAATATATTTGGTAAATAGATTATTTACATGTTGGAATGGAAATTTTTCTGATCCTAATGCATATATTATAGAATCTTATTATAAAATTACATAAATTTTTATAAATTTACATAAGTAATAACTCAAAAATGATGGCCAAACACCAAATGTGATGATTGCATGTTGTGGTGGCTAGTGGTGGTTAGTAGTGACGTAGTTAAAAAATTAAATCAGAGAGGACACTTATTAATTATAAAATTGAAATTTTTTAAAAAAATATTTCATATCAAGAAAGTTATATATATATATATATATATATAATATTTGTAATTAGTATATCATGGACAAACCAAACCAAATCAAATCAAACAAAACAAGCCTTAAGTCCCATCAAATGTGGTCGGCTGCATGAATCCTTCTTCTCCAAACGGCCCTATCAAAGGGCATTTCATTAGTCAAATTAAGTAGATCCATATATCTATTTACAACACTAGCCAACGTTAATCTAGGCCTACCCTGTCTCCTAACACTTCCATCTACCATTACAGCATCGCATCTCTTCACTACTGCCCATGTTGATTTTCGTTAAATATGGCCAAACCATTTCAATTGATTCTCTCTTAACTTATCTTCTATTGGTATTACTCCTATTTATTCTCAAAGACACTAATTTCTAATTCTATCTTGTCTAGTCTTTTACACATCCACTTTAACGTCCTTATCTCAGCCACACTTATCTTATCTACATTTTGTTTTTTGGTTGCCCAACACTCCGTCCTATACAATATCGCTGGTTTAATAACCGTTCTATAGAACTTACCTTTTAGTCTAGTGAGTATTCGTTTGTTGCATAGTACCTTAGACATTCTTCTCCATTTACACTATCCCGCCTTAATCCTATGAGCCATATCCGCATCCTTCTCCCTCACGTCATCATTGACATATGATATCACTAACCAATAGTAAAGAAACACATAGAGGATGAACCACAAATGTCAAATGTAACTAACAATTTAATAAATTTCACATCTTCATTGAGATTAATTATAATTATATGTCAATAATGATAACCATTACCATTGTATTAAAATTTTTATAGATAATAATATGACTTATCATAATATCTTTATTTTTCATAAAAAAATAACTATTATTATTCACATAATTTTAAAAATGTCATTGGATATTTAATTCTAAATAATATTTTATAATGTTTTTATTTAAAATAATTTTTTTATATTTGTAAAAAGTAAAAAAAATTATTCCAATATCGAAGGGCACGTGACGCCTGTGGCAACCGAATAATAGAGGAAAATGATGAATGGATAAGGACAAAAACAATTTTTTTTTTTTTTAGAGAGGATAAGCAATTACACAGAAGAGGAGGCCTCAGACACCACCAACGCCATTAAAGAGGGAGGATCCTCCTCTATCCAAACACGTGGTGAATCAAAATCAAAAGCTAGCCTACTTAAACAATGAGCCACCGAATTGCCATCTCGACAAACATGCGAAACCGATGAAGAAAGAAAACAAAAAAGAAGCGCTTGAGCCACACCCACTAAATGACCATAGCAAGATAAATTATCCGCCTTGCCTTGGATAGCAGCCACTACATTTTGAGAATCACCTTCAAGATGAATATGCCCCAATCCCAAATCACATCCCAATTGGAGAGCTTTGATCGCACCCATAGCTTCCACATAATATTTTTTGGGGTCAACGTGCTCGAGCTAATTGGCTAAAGGATGGGGACCGTAATACTTCTTTTTTTCATTCTAAGGCCACCCAACGTCATAAGAAGAAGAAGATTGATGGGATTGTTGATCCTAATGGAATTTGGCAGGAGGATCAAAAAGTGGTGGAGGACAACTTTGTGAATTACTTTCAGGAGTTGTTTTCGACAGGTGAGGAACTGAATATGGGCCCAGTTTTGCAGTTGATTCAGGTGAGAGTTTCAGATCGTAGTGCATCTCAACTGAATAGACCTTTTTCTGAAGTTGAGGTCCATCATGCGCTTTTCCAAATGCATCCAACGAAGGCTCCCGAGCTCGATGGTAAGCCTGTTTTATTTCTCCAAAAAATTTGGCAAGTGGTGGGTCTTAGTGTGAGTACTGCGGTGCTTGGGTGTTGAATGGGGTTGATGAGATTTCACAAATTAATCATACTTTTATTGTGCTGATTCCTAAAATTAAGAATCCCAAGCTAATGTCAGAATTTCAGCAAATTAGTTTGTGTAATGTTGTCTATAAGATAATTGCAAAAGTGTTGGCCAATCGTCTTAAAGAGGTGTTGCCATCTGTTATTTCAGACACTCAAAGTGCTTTTATACCAGACCATTTGATTACAGATAATGCATTGGTGGCTTTTGAAGTGTTCCATTTTCTTAAGAACAAGAGGGCGGGCAAGGATGGATGTCTTGCGTTGAAACTTGACATGAGTAAAGCTTATGACCAAGTGGAATGACCATTTATTAATCAAATGATGCTCCAGTTAGGATTTCCTCAACGGTTTGTGCAACTACTCATGAGTTGTGTGTCCACAGTATCTTTTTCTGTGCTTGTTAATAGGAAGCCTTCAAGAATGTTTCACCTAACAAGGGGGCTCCGCCAAGGGAATCCGCTTTCGCCATATTTGTTCACTATTTGTGCAGAAGGAATGTCGGCACTCCTCGCCCATGCTATGGTAGATAACCAATTGTCGGGGATTTCAATTTGTCGGGGTAGCCCACGATTGTCGCATTTGTTTTTTGCCAATGACAGTCTTCAATTTGCGGCTGTTAAGGAAAATGAGGTGGGTGTGTTGCAAGATATCCTCCAAAAGTATGAGCAAGCATCGGGGCAGAAAATTAACTTCCAAAAATCTGCTGTTTGTTTTAGTAAAAATACGGCCTTGGTTACTCAGCAAGTGGTGACATCCATTCTTGGGGTGGGTTCATTGACGCCCTACGGGAAGTATTTGGGGTTACCATATTGTGTGGGGCATTCTAAGCACGTAGTTTTGGGGTTTGTTAAGGAGCGCGTATGGCATCGATTAAATGGTTGGAAGGAAAAATCTTTATCGGTTGCGGGTAGAGAGGTACTCATTAAGTTTGTTGCTCAAGCAATACCCACTTATATTATGTCCTGTTTTCGTCTTCCTGATGGAGTGTGTCATGAAATTGATTCTATGGTGTGCAATTTTTGGTGGGGAGAAAAACAATTAATAAGTGAAGTTATTATTATTTTTTTTTTGTGATAATAATTTTTTTTTAAATATAAATGCATCCCAAATAATTTTTTTTATAGTTTTTTAAATATTTATTATTAGAAATAGAAATATTTCAAAAAAAACATAATTTTAAATTATTATTATTATTTTTTTATTTTTTATTTTTATAAATGTATAAAGAGAACTATAAACTTAAATGTAACTAAGCTTCTATTTATAGCAATTTTTATTTATTTTCTTATGGAAAATTTATCTATAAATCTCATATTGAGAAATGATGACTCGATTAGTCCCAAGAGTTTTCTTATACACCAATTAGTCCCAGGGGTACTTACGTGTAGGTCCTAATAAGTGGATTTATTATCTAATAGGTCCTATGGAAAAAAATTGTCATAAAAAAAGTCACTAATTGTAAGTTTTAGGGGCAATTTATAAAAATCATAACAAAAAAAAGTCACTAATTGTAAATTTTTAACGACGTATATAAAAAATTGTCACAATAAATTATTTTTAATGACAATTTTACCAAGACTTATTTTCAATAGAACTTGATGGGAATTAAATCCAACTATTAGGACCTATTGGTAGTTTACCCTTAGCCCTATTGATTTTGGAAAGGTAGATTTAGGTCATGTTTGATTCACAAGACTAATAGTGAAGGAATCAATAATCCCATCAAATTAGTGTGGTATTCACTATCCAATTGGATTAGTAGGATAAATTATCTCATATCTATTGTTTGATTTGCATTAGATAAGAAAACATATGAATGTAAAAGAGTCTTTTTATTTTATTTCCCAACTCAGGATATATAATCTCATCTCCATCCCATTACTAATAATCATACAAATTTGCTGGATTAATTATCCATTGGATTAGTAATCCTGAAACAAAATTTCAAAATAAACACAGGATTATTGGGTTTACGGACTAATAATCTCAATCCTATGCTTTAATCTTGTCAATCAAACATACCCTTAGGCTATGTTTGTTTGGGTGGACATGAGCTTGAGATTGGACTAATAATTCAATAAAATTATTAATTCGATGTTTGGTTAAACAATTGAAGTATGGACTAATAATCCATCCGGATATGGTATCCTACATATGATGGACTATTCAATCCCACAAAGGGGGGTGGGATATAAATTGGAAGACTAAGCCAAAGTCTGGACTATTAGTCCCTCCTTATAATCCTAACTCAATCCAAACATAGGATAAGATACATAATCCAAAGGAATTCGTAGTCCTAGGACTATTAGTCATGGGAATGCTAATCTAACCTAATCCAGTCCGCCCAAACAAATATGGCCACCTACATTTTTCCTTTGAACCCCCACATTTTTTATTTTTTATTTTATTTCAATTTTTCCCTAACACTAATTTCCATTTTTACCCATCTCTATCTTTCCGACCCTAACATTAACCCTCCACCTTCGCATCCACCTCCACTTTCACCTTCACCTTTATCTCTACCTCCACTCCTTCGACAGCTCTCTCTCTCTCTCTCTCTCTCTCTCTCTCTCTCTCCTTCATCTTCAGCAGATTCGACCACCCTCCACCTCGCCATCATTTCTTCACAATTGCCATCACCACCATTCATCCTCTACTACCAGCCACAGAACACAAAACTACTCTTTTTTTTTTGCTACTACTGGAGATTCAAATTCTAACCTCATTCTCTTCCTTTTCCTATAATACATTCTCATAACACCTCCCCAAACTCTTTTTCGTCTGAAATCTCAAAGCTCAATTCAAGGCACAAATGACCCAATCACATTCAAATTCGACGCAAACTTCCCGAAAGCAGCGAATGCTACTAGTGATTGCGTAAGTCAAGAAGAGCAACAACTATCGAACAGAGGTGATCGAAACAAGGTGTATCGGGAAGTGAGTTCAATGGGAAGAACAGAGTGACCGAGTCGAGCAAAAGGGCAAAAAATTGCCAAGCTTTGTGTAGTTCGGTGTTGAATATTGATACTGTGTTTTTCACTATAGCAAGGCTTGAATTTGTGAGAGAGGCTTCTATGGAGGTCTGAATCTTGAGAGGATGAGTTGGGGAAGATCATTAGAATTGGGATGAACAGCAACCGACGATGGTAGTTACGCGGTGGTGGCGAGAGAGGGAGAGAGAGACGAAAGGCCTTGCGGCAGTGGTGGGGGTGGGTCACCAGAGAGATAGGACTGCTAAGCGTTGGTGGTGGAGATGTAGGGTTTGTATTTGGTTTAGAGTTAGAGGTATAGTTGGTATTAAGGTAGGGATTTAAAGAGAAAATGAGAAAATTCATTTTTTTGGATGGGAGTTGAAAGAAGTAAGAGAGCCAAAGTAAAAAGATGGGGGCAAATAGTAGCCATTGTAGATTTAATATGTTATTTAAAAATAAAATTTACAGTTATACCCTTATTTAAATTATTTTATCTTCATTTTTTTTTAGGTGCTAGAAAGATAAAATACACAATCTATTATAATCGAATTTGGGATAAATTTTTATATAAAAATCTTTTTATTTGGAATGACTTGAAATATGAGATTATTCAAACATTCTAAAAAAGATGTGGGATTTTTCAAATATTTCAAAATGGGTATAAAAACTCCTTAATAAACTTTGAGTAAATGTATAATTTCAATCTTTAATACTCCAATGTAACGTTCAAATGTAATACTCCAATGTGGCACTCCAAAAAAACTCATTATTATACTTTTTCTAAAAGTAACACTCTAAAAAAACTTCTTATTGTAACACACCAATATAACACAGAAAAAATCCTTAATGTACTTTTTTCCAAACGTAATATTCCAATGTAACACTCCAAAAAAAGGATGCGTGATTCTTCAAACCATTCCAAAAAGAGTACAAAATTCCTTAGTGGACTTTGGATAAATGTATAATTTCAAAATGTGAGTGTTATGTTTGAAAAAAAGTACACCAAGTAGTTTTTTAGTGTTTTTATATATGTTACATTGGAGTGTTACGTTTGAGATTATATTGATTAGAGTATTATGTTTGAAAAAAGTACACTGAGTAGTTTTTTGTGTGTATTACATTGGAGTGTGTTACGTTAGAGTGTTACATTTGGAAAAAGTTTGAAGTGTTACGTTATTACATTTGGGAAAAGTATAATAAGGAGTTTTTTAGTGCGTTACATTGGAGTGTTACGTTCTTATTCACAATATGGGATTTGTTTCAAAAGAAGGAAAAATTCAAAACTTCTATAGTGCGGATTGTCCAAATATATAATTTCACATTTAGAAAAACCCACTTTTATCCCTAAAAAATTAAACCCAAACGTGTAAGTGATTACCTTTTTGTGTAATTTCCATTTTAATGGGACATTTGGGTTTATAAGAAAAAATAGAGGACTAAATAGTTTACAAGATCACATTTTGGTATTTATTAGTATTTCGCCCTTTTTTTATTTGGTAATTCAGGGTATTCGAGTCAGCTTACAACCCTTCTCACAGTCCTTTCGGCTCACCGACTCCATTACCACCTCCCTCATTTCCTTCACCTGTTTGCATATTACCAACTGTCGCTACTAGCCCTTGCCACCCCATCCATACCTGTGACTCCAACTCATTCTAATTACTTAATTAAGATGCTTAATTGATTATTAACCCATGGGTGAAAATTAATCTTGACTAATTAGAGTTGAATATTGTCAATTTGGATAATTGTGATTCATTAACATCAACATAACTGGTTTTCATGGCAACCTAGGAACAACAACTAACGAGGAGGCAGAATTATGGAGTGTATACAGAGGTTTGACAGTCATCTTCGAGAAAGGCATGAAGAAAGTCATCATCGAATCTGATTCGAAAGAGTTGATTAATTTAATCAAAGGAAAGACTTGTCTCAACTTTTCCCAACGAGCTTTGCTTGAAGACACTAAGGTAGTGTTTGGTAGAGTTTTAGAATTATGATTTGAAAATAGAGTTGCATTTTGAGTTTGTGAGTTTTGAAATTATAATTTGAAAGCAGAAAATTTATTTGGTTATGAGTTTTGAAAAGAGTTTTGAATTTTTGATGTGACATATGAAATAAGAAAATTCGTTTGATTATGAGTTTTAAAAAGAGTTTTCAAAACTTAAACCAAAAACACAATTCAAAACTCTATTGAAAATTCTATTCAAAACTCATAACCAAACTTTTTTTAAAATTCAATTTAAAAAAATAATTTGTCATTTTGGTTTAAAAAAATAATTTTTATATTTAAAAAGTATCAAAAACAAATATATATATATTTTCCAAATA